GGAGAGGTGGAAAAATTATTGTTAGCGATCAATAATGACAAACCTCCTGGTGTTGACAACTTAGATGGAAAGCTACTGTGGATGGTAGCTGACTCTATAGACATTCCTATCTTTCATATCTTTAATCTGAGCCAAAAGGAAAGTATTTGTCCTCAGGCCTGGAGGGAAGCCAAAGTCATTCCTCTACCCAAGAGTGGTAAAGCAGCCTTTACTGGTTCTAACTGCAGACCTATCAGCTTGCTGCCAGCTCTTAGCAAACTGTTGGAAAAAATTGTTTGACCAAATACAATGTTACTTCTCTGTAAACAAATTAACAACAGACTTTCAGCATGCTTATAGAGAAGGGCACTCAACATGTACTGCACTGACACAAATGACTGATGATTTGTTGAAAGAAATTGATTTAAGAAGATTGTGGGTGCTGTACTGGTATATTTCAGTGCAGCCTTTGGTATTATTAACCATAACCTGGTGTTGAGAAAACGTATGTGTTATGGCTTTTCAACCTCTGGATTATCGTGGATTCAGAGCTATCTATCTAATAGAACTCAGAGGGTTTTCTTGAATGGAAGCTTCTCTAATGTCAAACATGTAAAGTGTGGTGTACCGCAGGGCAGCTCTCTAGGCCCTCTAATCTTTTCCATTTTTACCAATGACCAGCCACTGGCATTAAACAAAGCATATGTGTCCATGTATGCTGATGATTCAACCATATACATCAGCAACCACAGCTAATGAAGTCACTGAAACCCTTAACAAAGAGTTGCAGTCTCTAAAACTAAGAGCATTGTATTTGGAACAAATTATTCCCTAAGTTCTAGACCTCAGCTGAATCTGGTAATGAATGGTGTGGCTGTTGAACAAGTTGAGGAGACTAAATTACTTGATGTTACCTTAGATTGTAAACGGTCATGGTCAAAACATATAGATTAAATTGTTGTGAAGATGGGGAGAGGTCTGTTCGTAACAAAGAGATGCTCTGCTCTTTGACACCACACTCCACAAAGCAAGTCCTGCAGACTCTAGTTTAGTCTTATCTTGATTATTGTCCAGTCATATGGTCAAGTGCTGCAAAGAAAGACCTAGTTAAGCTGCAACTGGCCCAGAACAGAGCGGCACATCTTGCTCTTCATTGTAATCAGAGGGCTAATATTAATACTGTGCATGCCAGTCTCTCTTGGCTAAGAGTTGAGGAAAGACTCACTGAGTCACTTCTTGTTTTTATAAGAAACATTAATGTTGTCCTTCTGGAATGTTCTCCCATCTCCACAGAGAAACTCTGGAGCTCTGTCTGAGTGGTTATCAGGTTCTTGGTTACCTCCCTGACCAAGGCCCTTCTCCCCCGATTGCTCAGTTTGGCCGGGCGGCCAGCTTTAGGAAGAGTCTTGGTAGTTCCAAACTTCTTCCATCTAAGAATGATGGAGGCCACTGTGTTTATGGGTACCTTCAATGCTGCAGAAAGTTTTTGATACCCTTCCCCAGATCTGTGCCTCAACACAATCCTGTCTGGGCGCTCTACAGACAATTTCCTCGACCTCATGGCTTGATTTTTGCTCTGACATGCGCTGTCAACTGTGGGACCTTATATAGACAAGTGTGTGCCTTTCCAAATCATGTCCAATCAATTGAATTTACCACAGGTGGACTCCAATCAAGTTGTAGAAACATCTCAAGGATGATCAATGAAAACAGTATCCACCTGAGCTCAATTTCGAGTGTCATAGCAAAGGATCTGAATACTTATGTAAATATATATATTTTTTAAATAAATTTGTCAAACATTTCTAAAAACCTGTTTTCACTTTGTCATTATGGGGTAGTGTGTGTAGATTGCTGAGGAATAAGGCTGTAACGTAACAAAATGTGGAAAAAGACAAGAGGTCTGAATACTTTCCGAAGGCACTGTATATATATATAAGCGTGTGCCAAGCTGTCATCAAGGCAAAGGGTGGCTATTTGAAGACTCTCAGATATAAAATACATTTTGATTTGTTTAACACTTTTTTGGTTACTACATGATTCCATATGTGTTATTTCATAATTTTTATGTCTTCACTATTATTCTACAATGTAGGAAATAGTAAAAATAAAGAAAAACCCTTGAATGAGTAGGTGTGTCCAAACTTTTGACTGTTAGTGTATTATACGTGGGGAAAAAGTTTTATCAGCCCCAATTTGCAGTTCCCCATTAAAAAGAGGAATTTTATCATTAGTCATGACAGAAATTGAGAAAAGAAAAAATCACATTGTGATTTTAATGATTTATTTGCAAATTATGGTGGAAATAAGTATTTGTCCTAAAAACAAGCAAGATTTCTGGCTCTCACAGACCTGTAACTTCTTCTTTAAGAGGCTCCTCTGTCCTCCACTCGTTACCTGTATTAATGGCACCTGTTTGAACTTGTTATCAGTATAAAAGACACCTGTCCACAACCTCAAACAGTCACACTCCAAACTCCACTATGGCCAAGACCAAAGTGCTGTCAAAGGACACCAGAAACAAAATTGTAGACCTGCACCAGGCTGGGAAGACTGAATCTGCAATAGGTAAGCAGCTTGGTTTGAAGAAATCAACTGTGGGAGCAATTATTAGGAAATGGAAGACATACAAGACCACTGATAATCTCCCTCGATCTGGGGCTCCACGCAAGATCTCACCCCGTGGGGTCAAAATGATCACAAGAACGGTGAGCAAAAATCCCAGAACCACACGGGGGACCTAGTGAATGACCTGCAGAGAGCTGGGACCAAAGTAACAAAGCCTACCATCAGTAACACACTACGCCGCCAGGGACTAAAATCCTGCAGTGCCAGACGTGTCCCCCTGCTTAAGCCAGTACATGTCCAGGCCCGTCTGAAGTTTGCTAGAGTGCATTTGGATGATCCAGAAGAGGATTGGGAGAATGTCATATGGTCAAATGAAACCAAAATATAACTTTTTGGTAAAAACTCAACTCGTCGTGTTTGGAGGACAAAGAATGCTGAGTTGCATCCAAAGAACACCATACCTACTGTGACGCATGGGGGTGGAAACATCATGCTTTGGGGCTGTTTTTCTGCAAAGGGACCAGGACGACTGATCCGTGTAAAGGAAAGAATGAATGGGGCCATGTATCGTGAGATTTTGAGTGAAAACCTCCTTCCATCAGCAAGGGCATTGAAGATGAAACGTGGCTGGTCTTTCAGCATGACAATGATCCCAAACACACCGCCCGGGCAACGAAGGAGTGGCTTCGTAAGAAGCATTTCAAGGTCCTGGAGTGGCCTAGCCAGTCTCCAGATCTCAACCCCATAGAAAATCTTTGGAGGGAGTTGAAAGTCTGTGTTGCCCAGCGACAGCCCCAAAACATCACTGCTCTAGAGCAGATCTGCATGGAGGAATGGGCCAAAATACCAGCAACAGTGTGTGAAAACCTTGTGAAGACTTACAGAAAACGTTTGACCTGTGTCATTGCCAACAAAGGGTATATAACAAAGTATTGAGAAACTTTTGTTATTGACCAAATACTTATTTTCCACCTTAATTTGCAAATAAATTCATAAAAAATCCTACAATGTGATTTTCTGGATTTTTTTTTCTCATTTTGTCTGTCATAGTTGACGTGTACCTATGATGAAAATTACAGGCCTCTCTCATCTTTTTAAGTGGGAGAACTTGCACAATTGGTGGCTGACCAAATACTTTTTTTCCCCACTGTATGTATGTATATATATATATATATATATATATATATATATGGGGATTGGAAATGATGGAGACAATTACATTGATGGAAGCTACAATTTATCTGCAATATTAAAGCTAATCTACCCCCTAAAAAATGTAAAAATAAATAATAATAATATTAAGACTAGCTGTCGCCATTGCCGTCGGCTAATGGGGATCCTAATGAATCAAATAAATCAAATAAAAAGTATTGCCAAATTCTCTAAAATGATGTTGGAGGTGGCTTAGCGTAGAGAAATGAACATTCAATTATCTGGCAACAGCTCTGGTGGACATTCCTGCTGTCAGCATGCCAATTGCTCGCTCCCTCAAAACTTACATTTACATTTTACATTTTACTTGAGACATAATAATATAATAATAATATGCCATTTAGCAGACGCTTTTATCCAAAGCGACTTACAGTCATGCGTGCATACATGTTTTTTTTTTTGTGTATGGGTGGTCCCGGGGATCGAACCCACTACCTTGGCGTTACAAGCGCCGTGCTCTACCAGCTGAGCTACAGAGGACCACCACATCTGTGGCATTGTCTTGTATGACAAAACTGCACATTTTATAGTGGCCTTTTATTGTCCCCAGCATAAGGTGCACCTGTGTAATGATCATGCTGTTTAATCAGCTTCTTTATATACCACACCTGTCAGGTGGATGGATTATCTTGGCAAAGGAGAAATGCTCACTAACAGGGATGTAAACAAATTTGTACAGCAAATTTGAGAGAAATAAGCTTTTTGTGTATATAGAACATTTTCTTATTTCATCTCATGAAACATGGGACCAACACTTTACATGTTGCGTTTTTATTTTTGTTCAGTATAGTCTGGAGTTGCACCTAAGTTTCACCCCTGCTAACATCATTTATAACCTTTAGACGTGCGAGTTACAATACCCTGCCCTAGGGATGGCTAACTCTGGAAACCCCTTCGGTTTCCTCAGCTAGGTAATCTGCTTTTAGTTTCTTTGCACCCCATGTATGGAATAAACTACAGAGTTCCCTAAAAATGGTGTTCTGATGCCTCTTGGGCAGTTCAAAATGTTGATTGAGAACCTCCTTGCTGAGGAATGTGATTGTTTTCCTTTCTATTATTTAATTGTTGTTGTTTTTAATTATTTACTATTTATGTTTAAATAATATACAACATTTATATTTTCCAATTAATTCAATAGGCCTATTACAGCTCAGTGAGGGTTAACTCAAACCCAGAACTTGGCTCAGGCTGTTTGTTGCACCACGAGTTAAAAATCAATGTGACACAATGCCGGTGTAGCATTTTGATGTTTGACAGTAGCTAGCTAGCATAGCTGTGTAGGTCGTCCATGGTCACGTTAGATCTCTATGTAAAAAGCTTTAGTAAACATTTTCTGATGCGACGTATACGTAATTCACCTGACAGTGAATCGACGAGGAGAATAATATATCATTATTAAAAAATTGAAGGTCATGACTCGTGTTATCTAGAAAAACATCATAGCTTACTTAACTGGCTCGCAGGCAGCCATCTAAATGAATTGAGTTGACCCCCCAAGGAGAAAAATATGCATTTGGCAGATTTCGTTGCTGGTTCCGTTGGAGGTGAGCTAAATAACGTTACTGTAATGTGTTTTTGTCTGGTTGTTATCTAAATCATTTAACTTATCATAGTTATATTGCTGAGAAATTTGGCAACATGTAACTACACAGGCAAGCGAAGCTATAGGCTAGCTTACAATGTGAAATAGGTTGAAACATTTTCACTGAGTTAGTTACATAATTTACGATGTGATGAATATTACTTGTTCCTACAGGAGCCTTTGGAGTGGCTGTGGGGTATCCTTTGGACACAGTGAAGGTATGTATCTTGTTATGTCAGCGAGCTTCATAAGTTGGCTGTGCGCATTTGACTAATGTTTAATAATGTGCAGTTATCAAATTCAATAACTTTTGACTCGATTACCTTTTGCAGGTGAGAATACAGACGCAAAGGAGATTCACGGGAGTTTGGCAATGCATTCATACTACATGGAAGACAGAGGGGGTGAGTGCCTCAGTGAGGTGTTGAAACCCCCATATGAAGCGCTGTAGTTTGGACGTGGGGCTGAAAGCTTTCTCTCTCCACAGGTGAATGGATTCTACAGGGGCATGTCCATGCCAGTCACCACTGTCTCCATCAGCTCCTCTGTAGTGTTTGGCGTCTACAGGAATGTCCTGCAGTGTTTACAACAACTACGATCCACCTCCACAGGTTTGGATTTTCTGCCAGCCAAAGTGGACTTCTTCTTGTCCGGGTTGTCAGGAGGTGTTGCACAGGTAGTCTACTTATAACTAGTATATTAGTCTACACTTGTTGCAACATTACATGACATGGTGCTTGGCATGGCCAATATTGGTCAGTTTCAGTGAATTGTATTAGGGGAACTAAAAAAAAAAGAATTTTCCTCTAAGCAAAACTGGATCATATTCACTAGGAAGCTAATGGGCTGAAACACGACCTTGATGACATCATACCACAACACCTTTGAGTAGTCTTTCCCTTGTCCTCTTTAAGGTATCTGTGATGGCACCAGCTGACATAGTAAAAGTACGGATGCAGTGCCAGATGGTACACCAAGGCTTGGACGCTCAGCAACCCAAGTATCGTGGCCCAATGCACTGTCTGCTGACCATCGCTCGTGAAGAGGGCTTCCTCGGACTGTACAAGGGAGCTGGTGCCCTCGCCCTGCGAGACGGCCCCTCTTTTGCCACCTACTTCACTATTTACCACGTTATCTGTGAGCAGCTGTCCCCACCTGGGAAGACCCAGCCAGGTAAACACATAGCACCTGGGAACACCCAGCCAGGTAAACACATAGCACCTGGGAAGACCCAGCCAGGTAAACACATAGCACCTGGGAACACCCAGCCAGGTAAACACATAGCACCTGGGAAGACCCAGCCAGGTAAACACATAGCACCTGGGAAGACCCAGCCAGGTAAACACATAGCACCTGGGAACACCCAGCCAGGTAAACACATAGCACCTGGGAAGACCCAGCCAGGTAAACACATAGCACCTGGGAACACCCAGCCAGGTAAACACACAGCATCACTCTGGAAGAATCTTCCAAAGCATATGCTTCTGTAACTCCGCTCATGTCATCTTTAAGTGTAAATGGTTGCTTTTACAATTGGTCATCATGATTCTTGATAATTTAGTGTTGATTATTTGGTGTCTTTTTTCCCCCCCAGAGTGGAAGGTGGTTCTACTTGCTGGTGGACTGTCAGGGATGTGTGGCTGGTGCATAGGGACACCTATGGACGTGATCAAATCCCGTTTGCAGGTGGACGGTATGGGCAAGAGGAGATACAAGGGTTTCTTCCACTGCATCGCGCAGAGCATACACACTGAGGGGCCTGGGTGTTCTCTTCAAAGGCCTGGGCCTCAATTGCATACGGGCCTTTCCAGTCAACATGTCCGTGTTCGCCATGTACGAGGTGGTTGTGCGCCTCCTCCGACCGAAAACTTGAATTTAAAGGCTTGGGTCGTTCATTAGACACCCCATGGACTGAAATAGGGAGGAACTACTGGTCCGAGAACAAATTTGAATGTTCCGTTGCAAAACGTTTTTGACACGACGTGCACTAATGAATACAACCTTGGCTTTGAAGACTTGGGTGATGGGATTCTATTTTGATGTTTCTCAATGCAGTTTTCCATGACTAGAATAACGCACAATCCATTGTGTTCATGTTGTATCACCATTCACCTTTGCCTCAGTTGCTGCTATGTGATTTTTTCTATAGTGCCATACTGCACTATAAGGGACACTACAATTCCTCAGTAAGATTTTATATATTCCTGCATAGTATTTCAAGTGAAAATGCGAATTGAAAAATGAATACTGAGCTAAAACAGTTTTATGGTAGTTCTCAGATCGTTTAGCAATAGGGCCTAATAGTTATCACCCCTTTTCAGGAATAGCAGTACAGTAACTTACTTCATTTGCACATTTATTTTTTATTTATTTGAAGGGAGACTTACCTACTGTTTACATAACATTCCCTCACTGACCTTAACATAACAGGGTTGGATTTTACACCGCAGGATCACTTGATTTTAATGGCTAGAACTGAAGCTGACGGTTATTAAGGAAAGTTACCTAGCGATCTTGTTGATCCTGCCCTAAGAATTATCCCACTGTTCATATCACTCCTGTCGCAGCTCGGAAACAAGTGTCTTTGAAATAGGGCCACCAGCCAGCAAACTGCAGTATACTGGGGGGTGGGGATGAGGGGGGAATCATCAGTACAGGCTTTCACCTCACCTTCGTTATGAAAGTGAGCGAAGCCTGGGAGCCGAGGCTAGGACTTTATCAACGTCGCTTTGAAAATGTAATTGAAGAACTTTGCTTTGTTACTGGATCCAAGCAGTATCAATTCTGATATGTTCTTGACTTGGACAGTATTTTCAATAGTACTGTCTAAACTCCCAGTTCTCAAAATACTGCGAGTCATTTTCTGTATACCACATGTACTGATGATACTGTACTTGTGATTTGGTGTTTGAGAAAAACGAACTTCAAGGAATGCATCTGATTTTGGTGTGAGTGAAATGTATAAGGGAGTTTTAACACACACAAACATTTCTGCAGTGTAAAAAAAAAAAAAAATGTAATAAATTATTTAATGATTGAATAAAAATTCACAAGACAGACATTTTATTCATCCAATGGTATTGCTGTTAGCACAAACCAAAATAAGACTTCCTTTGTCCATGCTTAGTAAGTTTGATGTGAAGCCATATCAGAGTTGGTTAATCATTAGACATGAACTGTTCAGCATGGGGATATGTAGTTTTGACACATTTAAGTTCATGTTTCTGGTATGCCGCATGTGACAAGACCTGGGCCACATTCAGTAGGAGGTTGTGGAACATTGCAGATAGAAATGTAATGAATAGATTAGACAAGATTCCTTTATTCTACATGTCAGAGGCATATCTATTTTACAAAACATTTATATCTGAACGTTCCACAACGTTGTGCTCTGCTGAACGCTGCCCTGCTGAGTTTTGACATGGACGACCTCCAACATTGGGTCGGGACTTAGCACATGATTAAAACTGGCTGCGCACAGGCTAGAAATTGAAATCTAGAGGTCTCGGGGTCATGAACTGCTTGACGGTCTCGTCTGTGACCTGCTTGCGTCTCTCCTGATGGGATGTGATCATTGGCTGCAGGGTCTCTATCAGACTCTTCTTCAGCTCACCGGTTAGCAGCGCTCCACTGGCGTAGTCCTGGAGAGAGAGAGATACAGTACACCAATGAGTGAGATTATTACTTAGGACAAAATACAGCAAAGAACATCCTTTGTTTCCAGGAAATCATTAGCCTGGTGGTCCAGCCTGTTTGTGCTTTGGCCGCTCCTCTCGGCTCGTTCTTTGCCAGGCCAAACATGGCATGACATCAATAGAATAGATGGCTACAGCACATAATGGGAGAGCGACCAGGTAAGAACTCTAGCTTTGTTTCCAGGAAATCTAGACCGTTAATCATTCGGATAAGACGTTGACACACACAAAGCATCACAGTGTTAATTTGGAGAGATTTGCGTAAACAGATGTGAATCTTGTCTGGGATAGTCAAATGTCCCGCTCTGTCCAATAGTTTTCATACCAAATAGAAAACTTAGTTTGCTTATTTCCTATAAAGATCAGGTTATTTTTCACCTGTGGGGGTAGTCATTGATAGCATGGTTGTGTGGGTTAAAAAACACCAATTCAAATGTAGGGCTATGTAGCTAGGTAAAATAAATTATATATATATTGAATGTAGGACAGTGTGGCTGTCGGTTAAAATAACACCAGCCCCTAAACCTTGACAGCAATACTGTAAATATGTTGAGCCATGTCTGTCTACTGTTGACGTCCAGGCGCATTGGGTTCTCTGACAGCTGTCCGGCAGCACGCTCCCCCACCTGTCGGATTTTCTCCAGCTGCTCATCGTCCTCCAGGAAGAAGGTCAGGTACATGAAGGACACGTCCACATCGGGGTTGCCGCCATATTTCCGGTGCTCCTCTACCGTGTCCTTTCCCCCGGAGAAGGCGTGCTTGTTCACCTAAGTGATGACAGCCACAATGACAACTCAACATGAATTACAGTTTTTTTCCCCCCTCTCCTTTCGTGTAAAACATTCTGATATCAATCGATCAAATGTAATGTCATTTCCATTTCAGGTGACTATATTTGACTGCCACATGGAACTAATAAAGTAAATGTACTGTATCTAGCTATAAAGCCCTGTTTTACGTTGTCAAGTGACTTCTTTCACAATACTAAACTGGGTAAACTGGACTGTACTGTACTGTGCCAGTCTGGTTAAGCATTCACTATTGCTAGAATCGTGCTGGAAGGTAAAAATAAAATATCTGAGCCAGTATAGATTGAGTGGGCAACACAGTGTAAAAAGGGTATTAGAAAGCTTCAGTGTCACCTTATTTTTGATCTGCTTGGGCGTGTCTGTGAGGAAGATGGAGGAGTTGGCATCGCTGGCGGACATCTTGGTCTGGGCCCCCTGCAGCGCGGGGAAGAAGGTAGAGTGCAACAGGGCAGGCTTGGGGTAGCCGATCCTGGGGGCCACATCCCGGGTCATCCGGAAGTAAGGGTCCTTAAGGGGTAGAGGAGGGATATAAGTCTTCAAAACCGTTATAGTGCTCTAGATGTAACGCTACATTACTTGAGTCCCTGTAAACTTAAACATATCAGACTGAATTTAACAGTTCTTTACCATCTCAGTGACATGCTGTCAGACCCTACTACTCAGATCCTTCTGTTTTTAACCTTGCAGGATTTTATTCTGGCTAAATATACAGTCACAAGCATCGTGTGTAGAAAGAGAAGCTGAGGTTAATCAGTTACCACTAGTCAGGGCCTTGTAGATGATCAGTCAAAGCATCCAATTTCTAAAATGAACTGGTAAATATTTATCTTTCAGAAATCTTTCTCTGTTAAAGGTTAATAGACAGTGTCCTGGTTGTTAACGGTTAACAGACGGTGTCCTGGTTGTTAAAGGTTAGCAGACAGTGTCCTGGTTGTTAAAGGTTAGCAGACAGTGTCCTGGTTGTTAAAGTTAGCAGACTGTGTCCTGGTTGTTAAAGGTTAGCAGACAGTGTCCTGGTTGTTAAAGGTTAGCAGACAGTGTCCTGCTTGTTCAAGGTTAACAGACAGTGTCCTGGTTGTTCAAGGTTAGCAGACTGTGTGTCCTGGTTGTTTAAGGTTAATAGACAGTGTGTCCTGGTTGTTCAAGGTTTACAGACAGTGTGTCCTGCTTGTTAAAGGTTAATAGACAGTGTGTCCTGGTTGTTCAAGGTTAGCAGACAGTGTCCTGGTTGTTAAAGGTTAGCAGACAGTGTCCTGGTTGTTAAAGTTAGCAGACAGTGTCCTGGTTGTTCAAGGTTAACAGACAGTGTCCTGGTTGTTCAAGGTTAGCAGACCGTGTGTCCTGGTTGTTTAAGGTTAATAGACAGTGTGTCCTGGTTGTTAAAGGTTAGCAGACAGTGTGTCCTGGTTGTTAAAGGTTAGCAGACCGTGTCCTGGTTGTGGTGTGAGGCTTGACTGACCTGGTCTATGGCACAGGGAATGAGACACTGGATGTCTTTTCTGCCCTTGAAGATCTGAGGGAAAGAGTTACTGAACGACGGAGCGGCCTGGATGGCAGGGAAGGCGATCTTTCCTGGGGTGGGTGAGAGAGGGAGGAATACTTAGCTGTTCAAAAGCATTCAACTGTGCCATATTCATTAGTGCACACCGTAGTAAAACAACGTTTTACAACAGAAAATGGAAATGAGCATTTCTTATTGGACAGTTAGTCCCTCCTTGTTTTAGTTTTTTTCCCCGTTTGGTTTCTAGTGAAAATGACCCTGATCACATTGTAGCAACACTATGCTAGTCAGAAAGAATTAATAGTGTTCATTCATAATGAAAGTGAAAGCCCAGCATTTGTATAATTGCTCAACAGTTATCAATTCCTACAAGTCATCTCTCTTACCGATGCAGTCACTGTCGCCAAATCCAAAGATGCCTTTGACCTGGTTGAAAGTCACATGCTTCTGTATTTTCACCACATTCCTGTAGAAGTCTGGGGACGCCCTGTAGAGACAAAACAATCAGGGTTAAGAACAATCATCAAAATAGGCAACATAGCTGACATGCCAACCTCATACCACTAGCAGGACTACGATGCACTTTGAATAAGTAAAGTATGTCACTGTGAGCTACTTCTATTGAATGACAAGCATCGGCTTTTAGTATCTCAGGCTGTTGAGAATAACCCACACAGCAAATAATTATGGTGAAGAATTATGATGACAGAAGGCTCCTGAGAGAGAGAGGTTGAGAGCAATGTAGCCTACTATCTAAATATTATTTTAAATGACTGCACTATAGCGCCACCAGTGAACAGACGTGTGATTAAGAGACATTTTTTAGAAAAATAACTATTCTTTAGTATTCCCATGATGTATAAACGCTCAAAGAGCATGATGAGGCAATTCTGAAACGACTAATATTTAATAGTACTAAAACACACAGTAGTCCCTGCACCTCTTAGGTAAATGAGGCCCAGGGCCCGTAGCCACAAAGTGTCTCAGAGTAGTAGTGCTGAACTAGGATCAGCTTTGACTTTTAGATCCTAGTGAGTAACATGACATGGACAGAGGGGGACCTGATCCTAGATCCGCACTCCTACTCTGAGATGCTTCGTGGATAAGTGCCCAGAGACGTAGTGAGACAGAGGGGTCCGTGGTTAGTTAGGTACCCCATGTAGTCCAGGTCAGAGAAGATGAAGGTCTTGTTGACGTCGAAGCCACAGGCGATGATGTCCTTGGCGTTCTCCACGGCGTAGCGGTGACAGTCCTCCAGGGACAGGTCCTTCCACAGGTACTTCTCATCGTCCGTCAGCTGGATCACCAGTGGGATGTCAAACGTGTCCTGCAGCCACCTGGGAACAGGTGGAGCGCAGCCCTTTACTCTCAAATCTCACCTGAATCCATTTCCATACGACCCTCTGACCTGAATCCACTTCCATACGACCGGCCTTAAGCCACGAAGTCAGTCTAACGTAGACCCTTCTTCTACAAACCTGACTTGAAACGCTGGGGCTTAGGTGTTTTTGACATGATGCAGTATCTGTTATTATAGGCAGTGTGTTATACAGTATCTGTTATTATAGGCAGTGTGTTATACAGTATCTGTTATTATAGGCAGTGTGTTATACAGTATCTGTTATTATAGGCAGTGTGTTATACAGTATCTGTTATTATAGGCAGTGTGTTATACAGTATCTGTTATTATAGGCAGTGTGTAATACAGTAGGTAGGGTCTAGAGTGTTTCCTGGTCTGGGACAAGGTCTGGGATGTACCATAGTGTAGGGAGAATAGATGGAGTCTACTCAAATGTTTGAACTTTTGGTGGTTCTTAATAGTGTCAAGTCTATCCATCTCACTAATACTAATCAGGGTTGGGGTCAATTCCATTTAAATTCCAGTCAATTCAGGAAGTACACTGAATGTCCAATTCTCTTCTATGCTTTTCACAGGAAACATTAGTGTGGTTTACTTTCTGAATTGACTGGAAGGGAATTGGAATTGACCCCAACCCTGGCTACTAATACTAACAGAGATAAACAGTATATAAAAGCAGCGCCTCACTTTGTGAAGATGAAAGGTATGAGGTGGCCCACGTGCATGGCCTCTGAGGAGGGCCCTCTGCCCGTGTAGAGGTAGAAAGACTTGTTCTTCTCATACGCGTCCAGAACCTGGTGCATATCTCTGGAAAAGACAAACGCAGAGTTAAAGCACATGACACATTCTAAAATGCCTTCAAGACAAGATGAGAGCAGATTAAGACTAGATGTTTACTACCTGGGATCAATTGCTCATGCTCAATCACAGACAGATAGACATAAAGGCAGACGGACAGACAGATGGACCGCCTTCTAGAGTACATTCAAATAAATTCATAGGAATGACGAACTCGGTGATGACAAGCACAGCTGTCATACTAGAGGAGTGAACAATCTGGTGACTGTGTTGACTAGCGTCACTGACCTGTGAGAGAAGAAGATTCCTCGGCGTAAAAACCGGTGTGCCTTCTGTCCCGAGACTCTCTCTATTCTGTCCACCAGCTCTTGGTCAATCTTGCTACTGCCAAACCTCACTGGAAAGAAACACACAGTAAGATGTTTTACGGCAGTGCACAATTTACCCATACCATGAATTATGCTCTGACTAAATCAAAAAAGAGTTTGACATTAGATAACGTCCATATGTTTGAAGCGAGTTTACAGCAACGTGTGAGATATTTTAGATATCTCGCATAAAGGCTCATTCATTTTCACAGAGGCCCAACTCCTAACTTGAGAATTCGTACATAACTCTAACAATTCTTCCATCAATGCATGATTCACACGATTGTCGAGTGAAGAGTGCGCTGTGCATGTGCCCAAATTAGGATTCTACCCAGAGATCTAACATTATGCTTTCCCCTCTGACCTATCAGCTTGTCGTAGTCCACTCCTTTGGCGCTGGTGGTGGAGACGTTCCAGGGGTCGACCATGTCCTCCCCATCTGCAGCTGCTGCTGGCCCATTGTCTTGTGAAACAGAGCATTCCGAGGGTGGACATCCAGCCTTGTAGTCCTGACCTGTTACCTGCTTGTAGTCCACTTTGAGCTTCAGCAGCAACTGTAGAGCAGCATCAATATCAGCCTGCGATCCAAAACCAATAGAAGATACAGGTATTACAATAACATCATGGTGTCCCATTACCATGGTCATGGAATAATTCACTACATGAAGACGATATGACCATGTTGTATCATGACTGTATTGCACAACACTTAGCAACTTATTATGACATGATACAGTATAAGAACACACTGTTTGTGTTTTTAACCAATAGAAACATCCCCATGTGAAGATATTTGTTTTATTAGTTGTAGCAGTAGTTTTGTTAGTGATGTGGTTTATTCCAGTTAAGCATAGTAAGCATAGTTAATTACATCATGACAAGCTAACAATGTATGGTTAAATAGTTAAGCACAACATGACAAGAAGAGGCCTGAAACAGAGCAAGGAAATAGCTCAGGGAATTGTGAAACAGAGCCAGGAAATGGGGATTTGTCAGTGGATTATGGGATAGACATGGTTAATCAACAAACACGGAGCCAGGGTTAAACATGGATACATCTCTGTTGATAAGCAAGAACATAATTGGTTTCTCTCACTGGGTTTAAAATTGGTTATAGTAAAATGATAATGTGATAGAATTGACATTCCAAATTTGGGTCCCCCTTTCATAGAATAAAAATATTCCTGCAGGTTATACAAATATGGATTAAGTGTGTTTGGAAATAGCATTGTGTGAATGTGATATGAGAGTTGTGTGAATATGGGAATGAGTTTTATAGTTTGGATAATAACATATAGAAATATGTAAAATAAAATGATTGAGATTTGGATAATAAGCTTTTGATATAACGTTATCTTGGGGTTCCGTACATTACTGCCCATCAGAGAATATCACAGGGAGGTATTGAGAGCGGGATGTTATGTTAGAAAGTGGGTCCGTGTAACTAAAAGTTGTTTTTGGTTCCGCTGGGAGTAGACTGTGATAAGGGGATGGTTCCGCTGGGAGTAGGCTGTGATAAGGGGATGGTTCCGCTGGGAGTAGACTGTGATAAGGGGATGGTTCCGCTGGGAGTAGGCTGTGATAAGGGGATGGTTCCGCTGGGAGTAGACTGTGATAAGGGGATGGTTCCGCTGGGAGTAGACTGTGATAAGGGGATGGTTCCGCTGGGAGTAGACTGTGATAAGGGGATGGTTCCGCTGGGAGTAGACTGTGATAAGGGGATGGTTCCGCTGGGAGTAGACTGTGATAAGGGGATGGTTCCGCTGGGAGTAGACTGTGATAAGGGGATGGTTCCGCTGGGAGTAGACTGTGATAAGGGGATGGTTCCGCTGGGAGTAGACTGTGATAAGGAGATGTGTGGCAATGGATAATCATTAAAAAACGCGAATTGATTGGTTGATGTGAATATATGACGATATGGTGAATTCTATGTGCGTGTAATCGATTACTAGAGATTTGATAAAGTAATAAGTGGAATAATATTTATATACTAACTTGCGCACCCAAATCGTAGACGTACGTGAGGGGTGGGAAACAATACAGATAAGGTTAAGCATTATATGACTGTCTCTCATTGCGGAGCTAAGGTGGTGTGGTAAAGGAATTTCATTGTGTCGCAAGGGAAAACATAATCCATTTGATTAAACTCGTCAGACCTATTTCCAAATGAATAAAGGTGGATTGGACACGTATGAGGTAGATATATGGAAGGAAAGAGAGAACAGATATAAATGTAGATCCAGGGAAACAATAACAGAAGCTTAATTAGAAGTGTCTATAGTATCGAGAGACTTCCAGTGGGTTATTCCCAAACGAGCGACAGTAATCAGGGAACAAATAGGCACTAATAGAATTACCCAAATTGGTACATGAAATTTGAAGGTGGGGGCGCAGACCGGGAGAAAAGATAACAGTCAGACCACGATTATTAAAACAGTGGTGGGCGCAGGAAACACAGTAATAACATAGAAGGTAGGAGAATTTAGAATATGGACTAGCCGTCCAGATATAAGCCAGTAAAAGAGAATAAAAAGAGTACTAAAAACACAAGGGATAAAAACTCATTGTTGGAAAGAAGCAGAGTATGAAGATATATTATGGAGAGAGATACCATTAACTGAGGAATAGAAAAACTTTTAGCTGAGAAAGCTAACAGAAATAATTGACCTTGCATCCTAACATAGACACAGAACCAAACATAAGATTAGCAACAGGAAGGCCAAGAATACAAGGAGTAGAGATGAATCAGGAAAGTGAATAACGATGGAGAGCGGACAGAGAACGTGAAGCAAAGTAGCAGAAAGAGAGGAAGAGAGTCAGAGAGAGGGGACAAGAAAGAGAGGAAGAGAGTCAGAGAGAGGGGACAAGAAAGAGAGGAAGAGAGTCAGAGAGAGGGGACAAGAAAGAGATTATTCTGTCTCTCACTGTTCAAATAAACCTACCATTAAAATTATAGACTGATCATTTCTTTGTCAGTGGGCAAATGTACAAAATCAGCAGGGGATCAAATACTTTTTTCCCTCACTGTAAGACTATTTTTTTATGACGTATGGATACACGTTTTTTCTTTATGGAGTTATTAAGGCTAGTGATTCTTATTCGATTTGTTTTAAACCAGTAGCAGGGTTGTTGTTTTTTAAACATTACTCTCATTATGAGTCATGTGTCAAAGTAGGGGAATTACCAGTCCTCTGAGGTTTTTGGATTGAGATGTACACACCTTGAGTGATATGTAAGAGTGTATCCAGTGATATATGAAGGAGTGTATTGTTGGGTTTATTCTGTTGTGTTTCAATGTAAATCTCACCAGATTGGGTCTGCTGGATTGTTGGGATTTCTCCCAATGGGTTAGAGTTCTAACTTCCTGATCCTATGACTGAGGTGAAATCCGAAGGGTGATAGAGGGGAGTATATTAGAAATTGGTTTTAAGAATAATTGGTAAAAATAATAATTTGTTTTTAACAAATAAATGCTTATCTGGATTTCCTGAATCAGAAATGAACTCCACTAAACTGTTCTGATCTTTACTCTCTCAAGGTTACTGCAGATGGTGTCTTGATGCATAGCAGGGATAATTCGGTCAAGAACGGTGTGATCCTCAATTTTAAAAACTAACCGGCTGAAGAGGAGCAACAAAGGCGTTGAATAGGGTCCTGTCCAGCACCACTTCTACCAAGATACCTGAATCAGAACCAGCATCCAATCGAAGCTATCAACTGGCTTTTCTCTCATGCCTTTCATCTCAGGAGTGTGACAGGAGTCCATGTGGAGTGGGCATGAAGAGAGATCTGTTCAAATATAACATCTCTCATGATGCTGGTATACTGGTTGGCAAATGGACAAAACATAATGGGGGTAGAGGTAGTGGCGGCTCAGGTGAGACATTGAAATTGGGACATTATCATGGGCCATCCATTTTGAACTATAAAGCTATCTGAAAAAGAAAATGAAGAGACTCCAGAAGATTGAGTGGCGGGGAAGGAAGGGGTTGGTCGACTGTGCCCGTAATTGATTTGACTGTGCCCGTAATTGATTTGACTGTGCCCGTAATTGATTTGGACTTGTCCAAAATCATTATTTGGGGTATCAGGTTGATTGAGGAGGTCTACACCCCGGCTAAATGTATAGTAATTTAGGATAAGAATGCATTGAGATACTGATCTGTAGTTATTCTCCTTATAAGGAAGCTTATACTAGAATTATGGATAATTATACTGTATGTTAATATAAATGTACATTCTGCCAGTGTCAATGGGTGCCAAGTTGAGGGTTTTAACTTTGAGTGATAGGACTAACGTGAATCACTAAGAATTGTAATTCAAAATTTTTTTGGGATAATTAATTTGATTATGATTGAGTTGTCAGGTGACTGATTGATTTGAGTAAGTTATTAATATGTTAATAACTAAAGATGTTGACACTGCAATTAATGTATTAGATATTGATTCTTGTGATTGTTATACTACTTGTGATATGGGTAGAGAAGCTATGTGAGCTAAAGATGTTGACACTATTCTCAACATGTCATGAAAATGTATGCACTCACTAACTGTAAGTCGCTCTGGATAAGAGCGTCTGCTAAATGACTAAAATGTAAATGTATTGCGTATACAATCGCAAGATAACTGCCTTAAATAGATATTATGGTTAAAACAATGCTACGTTAGTTTTAATGAGTTAGGATACACGTATATGATTTATTTAGAGTAGAAACGTTTAAATCTTACTGTTTGACAATATGATCTTAATGCAAGGATTGTGCCTTAAATCATTAACATGTTGATTTTTATGTCACAGTATTCATATATTAGTCACTATATACATGTGAAGTATTTTGATGTATTGATATGGGACTATTAAGTTCCAAAGGGGGGATTGATGTGGTTTATTCCAGTTAAGCATAGTAAGCATAGTTAATTACATCATGACAAGCTAACAATGTATGGTTAAATAGTTAAGCACAACATAACAAGAAGAGGCCTGAAACAGAGCAAGGAAATAGCTCAGGGAATTGTGAAACAGAGCCAGGAAATGTCTCTGTTAGATTTTAACCATATGATGAGGATTTGTCAGTGTACTTTGTGATAGACAAACACGGAGCCAGGGTTAAACATTTTGATACATCACTGTTGATAGGCAAGAACATAATTGGTTTCTCTCACTGGGATTATGTGTTTGTTCTCTGGTCATCTGACCGGTCTTCGGTTGTCTTATCTTATCAGTGACTGAAACCAGGCTGAACCCTTCGTCTCTCCTTGAGTGTCTTCCTGATTAAATTATAGCGTGACGGGCTGGGACAGAGGGGTTAGGCTTGGGTATGTTTGAGAGATGGATTGTGGGCCTGCCATGTTGTCCACAATCCATCTCCAGGTCAAGCCAGGGTGAGCTAGGGTTGAACAAAGTTAAAACTGAACATGATTATTTTTACATGACAGGGCTGTTATTTGTGCATGACAAAGCTTGATTGGTCACACCACCATTGTTTCCAAACTGAATAGAAGTCAGATTTCGCCACTATCATAAACTAAGGAAGTGAGCAGAGCAGTCAAGAGGTGGAAACTGGAGACAGTGGGGGTGGAACCCAAGAGGGAGGGGTTAAGATAAAAATGTATGTAAAGTGACTATATAAACTGAGAGCTGAAAGTGATATGCTCTGCAGACCACCTCGGCTCTATTGCTTGTGTAATAAAGTCTATCTTAATTCAACAAAAACTCTGAAATACTTTGTGTTTGACTGAGGACAAAGACAATTTGCTACGACATTATTTGTAGGCCTATTATTAGCTTTACAACTTTTTTATGCAGTTTTATTTGTATTTCGTTGTTATTATTAGACAGTAGTTGCCATATTATTATTATTTAATTGTTAATATTAGACAGTAGTTGCCATATTATTATTATTATTTAATTGTTAATATTATTAGACAGTAGTTGACATATTATTATTATTTAATTGTTAATATTATTAGACAGTAGTTGCCATATTATTCTTGTTACTAAGTATTGTTTTTTTTGGACACTTGAAAACGAGATGGTGCATTTCAAGAGATTTTATCCTGCAACATTTCAAATAAATAAATACATCGAAAAGCTTACTTTAGCAGCCTTTTCTGTTTTCAGAGTTCGGACTGTCTCTCCTTGTAATGTTAGTTTCTCATATAGGTCCATTGGGGTCATATCCCCGGCCCCGTCTCCCAGACAGTCTGTCATCTTCAACCTGGTCAGGACCTAGGAGATACAAGATTATGTGACAATTTCATATGCATTAGCTTACGCCAAGTAGCATATATGCCATTGCATTAGTTAACAAGCTATCTAGTATGTCTTGTCATAAGATCAGCAATAGCTATCTGGTTTTGTTATGGTCCATGAAGCCACCTGAACAGAAAGGAAGGTTCAAGGCGCATATGTTGTGATTCAAGAACCTCTCTCTCCACTGCTAAAGTTAGCTTAGCCTTGGTGGTTACCCCATATGTTTGCCATACCGTTGTTCTGTTCTGATCTACTCTACCACGCCATGACAGTGGCTTTCGGTTGATAGGACATGTTTATCAAATAAACATGGTTACATCAAACAAATTCACACCCACCGTTCAGATTCTATGACACCGCTTACAATCCACTCATTCAACTTGCATCAGCCTGCTTGAAGAGGGGAAGTGTTCAGGGCAAATGTATCACCTGAGAAACAAGTACTTGATCTATAGAGTTCCACTATGAATTTATTTACCGTAATAAGAGAGGTTCTAATATTTTCATGTCAAAGAGTTAGAGAAAATCCAGTTACTTCGAATGAGAAGGACATAAAGAGAAATGCATAAAAAACAATGCAAGTATGTTTAAAACGTCGACGATGCCGAAAATGATTCCGACTGACTGATTTCAAAATAAAAGTTGTCAAGGGCTGTGCGCTACTTTAAAGAGCGTGAGATATAATTACAACTTTTATTTCTAAGATGTGCATTCATTGGTTCCTGCACAGGCTTCATTTACATTTACATTTTAGTCATTTAGCAGACGCTCTTATCCAGAGCGACTTACAGTTAGTGAGTGCATACATTTTCATACTGGCCCCCCGTGGGAAACGAGCCCACAACCCTGGCGTTGCAAGCTCTACCAACTGAGCTACAGGGGACTTCACACATTTGGAGCTGGACAAAATTGATGATTTACATACATTTACTGTACTTTCTCCTGAACCACTGAATTGTAAGTAACGTTAGCTACAGCAATAATTTCGCCCGTCATAGTACTTGTGACATATATGTTGTAGTGGCATATCTGCTGTAGGCACAGGAAGAGAGATGTTGCTATGCAGCTTCTTGATTGAGTTGCAAAGCGAGCTAGCTAATGTGGCTAACCATAGAGCCAAAGATTTTTATAACTAACCCATAGCTCATTGTTCTACTGTATCTGTGATACAGCTGTTGTGCCTGTCTTCAGCGCATAGCCAGCTTGCGGGTTCATGTGCGCTAATGCTACGTTCATAACCAAGTGGGAAGGTGGTAATTACCAGTTGTGAAGTTGTAAATACGAGTTGGGTGCGTTCACGTTTTGGACTGGGAAATGCCGTCAAAGGTCATTAGAAGCCTTGTGATTGTTTTGCTCAGTTTTTGCTCATAAAACAAGTATATCCAGATCTGCTTTCACTTTCTAAATCAAGAGGAAGATGAACAGAATCCATTTTGTATCAACAATTTGTATTTAGTTCTTACCATAAACAACAACTGTGCCACCATGCTTTGTCTATTTGTTGACAAGGATGTCAGAGCAATGCAGGTGAAACTCGGAGCAGGGGGATAATAGACGAGTTGCCCACCTGTTGGAGGGCTGTTCAACAGTTTTTTCCCCAGTCATGTGGAAAATACCACCTTCCTACTTGGTTATGAATGCAGTGTAATAGCCAGCTAGCTAACTAAGGTGAATGGGGCAATGGACAGAAGGGATTCTTCTTTTTCTTCTTTAAGATTGGGTTGGCGGATCGCATCCAACTTTTAGGTGCATACACTGCCACCTACTGTACTGGAGTGTGAGGCCAGTCACGGCCTACCTACATTAAATTCCGGTAATACAACATTGGGAAAAATTAAAAGGACAATTATCCTGCCAGCTATTAGCCCTCACAACAACAAAACATACATAACAAATAAAACACCCCATTCCACTATTTAACTCTATCTAATCCTACTCCAGGCCAACAGTCTAGGAGGACAGAACACTACTACTCAACAACCCCTGCAGTAAAACCTTGCAATCCCAAGTACTTCTCTGAAGCTGCCACCACAACCTCTATTTTCTGAGACTTACGTTCCATTTCTGTAGTACAGTTGTCAACCATGGCTATGAATCCTAAGAAAACCACCTTACTGAAGCACATATTATTCCCAGCCCTCTCTATTGGTCTCTGCCTACTCAAAGGAATCCTCTCAGGATCCCTCACCCTGTACCCATCTTCCTCTACCACGCTCTTCACTGCTTCAGCATACGACAGCATATGGATCTGTACCACTCTGACCATGGCAACCTCAACCTGCCTTTCTCTCACCGGACACCTCCGATCTCCAGCCCCTTGGGCAACCCCACAGCTTACACACACACCTTCCTCCACCGATACCACACATTCCTTTCGTCTCATGCCCTCCTGCACACTTCTCACATCTAGGAATCTCCCTCCCAAACACTGCTGCAACATGACCATAAGCTTGGCACCTAAAACACTAGAATTTTCAGAACAAAATCTCTCATGGGATAACTAACACATCCTAACCTGACCTTGTCGGGCAAAGACTCTGCATCAAAACTCAGCAGGACAGACAATGTTTCCGTTTCACCACGCTCTCCACCGGGTCTGCATCCCACCAAACGGCGGGCATCACAGACACCAGGAATCTTACATTTCAGCTGATCCTCCTCAACACTTAATGCCACCCCTGTTAATCACTCCTTCCAACGGCGCCCTGCTACGTAGAGCAAAGCAAATAACAGTTATTGTCCCTAGTCACGTGGTCTGGAGCGCCTGCTCCCTCTGGACGGAAGAAACACAATAAATCATCACAAGTCCACTCAACAGTCCCCAACCTCTTCTCCACTCAACCTGACACCACATATGGATCAGCCAGAATACCAGAATCCATTCTCTCCTCAAATCTCACTCCCACTGGGCCAGAATCGTCCTTGTCATCATCGGGACGAGGCTCGAACTCGGTGGTCCTCACCGCAGGTACTTCATCCTCACTCTCGTCAGGTTCCATCTCTGAATTCTGGAGCACGTATCCCTCTTTTTGCGCTTGACGCCAACCTTCCTCACCACACCGCTTCCCTCTACACTCAGCTCCTTCTCGGCGGTCACCACTGGACCTACCACCACATCTAATTCATCCTCACTCTTGTCACGTTCAACTTCCTTCTCTAGCTCTTCCAAAAGTTATGTGTGATCCTCCATTCTATATTCATTCAAAACATATTCCACTTTTCTGCTTTTGTTCTTGTCCGCCATCTTCTACTTCATCAGATCTTCCAGAAGCCTTGTGCAATCCCCACTTCCACTTTCCTCTTTTTGTTCTTGTCTGCCATCTTCCAATAGTTTCTCCATATTGTATTGATCATGGTTGCCCATAGCCCTTGATCATGACTCTCAGTTCCATTACATTACACATAAGAGTCATTGGACGAAGGCGTCTTCTGTAGCGGGGAGTTTTGTTAAGAGCCCCTATGCTCGGTCTGAACATTAACACGCATTGCTTGTGGTACGGTTTTGGAAGCACAAGGTCCTTATCTTTTGTTCAAAAAACAAAAATGTTAAATTGTAACCGACCGGCTTGATTCGGTCTGATGTAGCAGCATTTGAAATTGTGTTTTTTACATTGGATAAACGTAAAGACTCAGAGGCCTCCCGAGTGGCGCAGCGGTCTAAGGCACTGCATCGCAGCGCTAGAGGCGTTACTACAGACCTGGATTCATTCCCGGGCTGTGCCGCAACCGGCCATGGCCGGGAATCCCATTGGACGGCGCACAATTGGCCCAGCGTCATCTGGGTTGGGGGAGGGTTTGGCCGGGGTGGCGGGCCGGGTGCCTGCAGGCTGAACGTGGTTGCCAGTTGAACGGTGTTTCCTCCGACACGTTGGAGCGGCTGGTTTCCGGGCTAAGCTGGTGGGGGTTAAGGAGTGAGCTTAGATGGGTCACGTTTCAGGAGGACACATGACTCCACCTTCGCCTCTCCCGAGCATGTTGGGGAGTTGCAGCAATGAGACAAGATTAAAAAGGGGGGTAAAATATATACACTTGTTTTTCAACAGGACAATGACCCAACACACCTCCAGGCTGTGTAAGGGCTATTTTACCAAGAAGGAGAGTGATGGAGATGACCTGGCCTCCACAATCACCTGACCTCAATCCAATTGAGATGGTTTGGGGAGTCAGAAGGCAGCGTGAAGAAAAGCAGCCAACAAGTGATCAGCATATGTGGGAACTCCTTCAAGGACTGTTGGAAAGCATTCCAGGTTGAAGCTGGTTGAGAGAATGCCAAGAGTGTGCCAAAGATGTCTCAAGGCAAAGGGTGGCTATTTGAAGAATCTCAAATATAAAATATATTTTGATTTGTTTAACACTTTTTTGGTTACTACATGATTCCATGTGTTATTTCATAGTTGTGTTGTCTTCACTATTATTCTACAATGTAAAAAATAAAGAAAAACCCTTGAATGAGTAGGTGTGTCCAAACTTTCGACTGGTACTGTATATATGTTTAAAAGTCGAGCTAGAAAATGGTATATCATACACTACAGTTGAGGAACAATGGGAAAGGAATTCTGATTTGACTGTTGATAAACTTGTAACCTCACTTTTGAGAAAATGGTCCTTGAATATTTTGGTACACCTACTGGAGAGCTCTCCTTTGTCTACACCTATTCAGCATCGTTCACACCCTGTTAAGCTTTAGCTCCACCCATCTCTTTAAGGATTCACATGTGAGGCCATGTATTAAGCAACCAAAGATTTCAAGACTGAAGGCTGGTTTATACTACGGGTGTGTTCATAAATTTAATCTGGAGTGCCAGAGTGTGTTCACGGCGTTCGTAAACTCAGAGCGTTGTCAGATTGTCCGTTCGTAAATTCAGAGCGTTTCGCTCTCTGAGTTTTCAGAGCACACACTGGACGCTCTGGCTGAGGAGTAGGGTCGATCCGAGCGTTCTGACCTAACAGCAGTCAAGCACCCAAGCTAACTGGCTAACGTTGGCTAGCTTGCTAGCTACTTCCAGACACAAATGAGAGAACAGCTCACTCTGA